GATTTTTTTCAAAATCGAGGTCGGTGCGAAAATCGAAACTTTTTCGATGGAGATATGACGTTCCAAAACGACATAACTCCGCGCGGAGATATGACCTTCCAAATCATCACGTTTCTTTTCAAAATCGAGGTCGGTGCGAAAATCGAAACTTTTTCGATGATTTTTTTTTTTTTTTTGAATATCTCGGGTAATAGACCCGCGCGGAGATATGACGTTTCAAAACGACGTAACTCCGCGCGGAGATATGACGTTCCAAAACGACATAACTCCGCGCGGAGATATGACCTTCCAAATCATCACGATTTTTTTCAAAATCGAGGTCGCTGCGAATATCGAAACATTTTCGATGAAGATATGACGTTCCAAAACGACATAACTCCGCGCAGAGATATGACCTTCCAAATCATCACGATTTTTTTCAAAATCAAAGTCGGTGCGAAAATCGAAACTTTTTCGATGATTTTTTTTTTTTTTAATATCTCGGGTAATAGACCCGCGCGGAGATATGACGTTTCAAAACGACATAACTCCGAGATATGACCTCCCAAATCATCACGATTTTTTTCAAAATCGAGGTCGCTGCGAATATCGAAACATTCTCGATGAAGATATGACGTTCCAAAACGACATAACTCCGCGCGGAGATATGACCTTCCAAATCATCACGTTTCTTTTCAAAATCGAGGTCGGTGCGAAAATCGAAACTTTTTCGATGATTTTTTTTTTATTGAATATCTCGGGTAATAGCCCCGCGCGGAGATATGACGTTCCAAAACGACATAACTCCGCGCGGAGATATGACCTTCCAAATCATGACGATTTTTTTCAAAATCGAGGTCGGTGCGAAAATCGAAACTTTCTCGATGGAGATTTGATGTTCCAAAACGACATAACTCCGCGCAGAGATATGACCTTCCAAATCATCACGATTTTTTTCAAAATCAAGGTCGGTGCGAAAATCGAAACGTTTTCGATGGAGACATGACGTTCCAAAACGACATAACTCCGCGCGGAGATATGACCTTCCAAATCATCACGATTTTTTTCAAAATCGAGGTCGGTGCGAAAATCGAAACTTTTTCGATGGCGATATGACGTACCAAAACGACATAACTCCGCGCGGAGATACGACCTTCCAAATCATCACGATTTTTTTCAAAATCAAAGTCGGTGCGAAAATCGAAACTTTTTCGATGGAGATATGACGTTCCAAAACGACATAACTCCGCGCGGAGATATGACCTTCCAAATCATCACGTTTCTTTTCGAGGTCGGTGCGAAAATCGAAACTTTTTCGATGAATTTTTTTTTTTTGAATATCTCGGGTAATAGCCCCGCGCGGAGATATGACGTTTCAAAACGACATAACTCCGCGCGGAGATATGACGTTCCAAAACGACATAACTCCGCGCAGAGATATGACCTTCCAAATCATCACGTTTCTTTTCAAAATCGAGGTCGGTGCGAAAATCGAAACTTTTTCGATGATATTATTTTTTTTGAATATCTCGGGTAATAGCCCCGCGCGGAGATATGACGTTCCAAAACGACATAACTCCGCGCGGAGAAATGACCTTCCAAATCATGACGATTTTTTTCAAAATCGAGGTCGGTGCGAAAATCGAAACTTTTTCGCTGGAGATATGACGTTCCAAAACGACATAACTCCGCGCGGAGATATGACCTTCTAAATCATCACGATTTTTTTCAAAATCAAGGTCGGTGCAAAAATCAAAACTTTTTCGATGGAGATATGACGTTCCAAAGCGACATAACTCCGCGCGGAGATATGACCTTCCAAATCATCCTTTTTATTTTGAAAATCGAGGTCGGTTCGAATATCGAAACTTTTTCGATGATTTTTTTTTTTTTGAATATCTCGGGTAATAGCCCCGCGCGGAGATATGACGTTCCAAAACGACATAGCTCCGCGCGGAGATATGACCTTCCAAATCATGACGATTTTTTTCAAAGTCAAGGTCGGTGCGAAAATCGAAACTTTTTCGATGGAGATATGACGTTCCAAAACGACATAACTCCGCGCGGAGATATGACCTTCCAAATCATCACGATTTTTTTCAAAATCGAGGTCGGTGCGAAAATCGAAACTTTTTCGCTGGAGATATGACGTTCCAAAACGACATAACTCCGCGCGGAGATATGACCTTCCAAATCATCACGATTTTTTTCAAAATCGAGGTCGGTGCGAAAATCGAAACTTTTTCGATGATTTTTTTTTTTTTGAATATCTCGGGTAATAGCCCCGCGCGGAGATATGACGTTCCAAAACGACATAGCTCCGCGCGGAGATATGACCTTCCAAATCATGACGATTTTTTTCAAAGTCAAGGTCGGTGCGAAAATCGAAACTTTTTCGATGGAGATATGACGTTCCAAAACGACATAACTCCGCGCGGAGATATGACCTTCCAAATCATCACGATTTTTTTCAAAATCGAGGTCGGTGCGAAAATCGAAACTTTTTCGCTGGAGATATGACGTTCCAAAACGACATAACTCCGCGCGGAGATATGATCTTCCAAATCATCACGATTTTTTTCAAAATCAAAGTCGGTGCGAAAATCGAAACTTTTTCGATGGAGATATGACGTTCCAAAACGACATAACTCCGCGCGGAGATATGACCTTCCAAATCATCACGTTTCTTTTCGAGGTCGGTGCGAAAATCGAAACTTTTTCGATGAATTTTTTTTTTTTGAATATCTCGGGTAATAGCCCCGCGCGGAGATATGACGTTTCAAAACGACATAACTCCGCGCGGAGATATGACGTTCCAAAACGACATAACTCCGCGCAGAGATATGACCTTCCAAATCATCACGTTTCTTTTCAAAATCGAGGTCGGTGCGAAAATCGAAACTTTTTCGATGATATTATTTTTTTTGAATATCTCGGGTAATAGCCCCGCGCGGAGATATGACGTTCCAAAACGACATAACTCCGCGCGGAGATATGACCTTCCAAATCATGACGATTTTTTTCAAAATCGAGGTCGGTGCGAAAATCGAAACTTTTTCGCTGGAGATATGACGTTCCAAAACGACATAACTCCGCGCGGAGATATGACCTTCTAAATCATCACGATTTTTTTCAAAATCAAGGTCGGTGCAAAAATCAAAACTTTTTCGATGGAGATATGACGTTCCAAAGCGACATAACTCCGCGCGGAGATATGACCTTCCAAATCATCCTTTTTATTTTGAAAATCGAGGTCGGTTCGAATATCGAAACTTTTTCGATGATTTTTTTTTTTGAATATCTCGGGTAATAGCCCCGCGCGGAGATATGACGTTCCAAAACGCCATAACTCCGCGCGGAGATATGACCTTCCAAATCATCACGATTTTTTTCAAAATCGAGGTCGGTGCGAAAATCGAAACTTCTTCGATGATTTTTTTTTTTTGAATATCTCGGGTAATGGCCCCGCGCGGAGATATGACGTTCCAAAACGACATAACTCCGCGCGGAGAAATGACCTTCCAAATCATCACGATTTTTTTCAAAATCGAGGTCGGTGCGAAAATCGAAACTTTTTCGCTGGAGATATGACGTTCCAAAACGACATAACTCCGCGCGGAGATATGACCTTCCAAATCATCACGATTTTTTTCAAAATCAAGGTCGGTGCGAAAATCGAAACTTTTTCGCTGGAGATATGACGTTCCAAAACGACATAACTCCGCGCGGAGATATGACCTTCCAAATCATCACGTTTCTTTTCAAAATCGAGGTCGGTGCGAAAATCGAAACTTTTTCGATGATTTTTTTTTGAATATCTCGGGTAATAGCCCCGCGCGGAGATATGACGTTTTAAAACGACATAACTCCGCGCGGAGATATGACCTTCCAAATCATCACGATTTTTTTCAAAATCAAGGTCGGTGCAAAAATCGAAACTTTTTCGATAGAGATATGACGTTCCAAAACGACATAACTCCGCGCGGAGATATGACCTTCCAAATCATCACGATATTTTCAAAATCGAGGTCGCTGCGAAAATCGAAACTTTTTCGATGATTTTTATACCCTGAACCCATTAAAAATGGGTATAAGGGTATATTGTACATGTGCAAAATCCAAATGTATGTAACAGGCAAAAGGAAGCATCTCCGACCCCATAAAGTATATATATTTTTGATCAGCATCAATAACCGAGTCCGTATGTATGAACGCAAGGAAATTTTAGATGTTAGTGCTCCTAGTGCCGCGCAGATCGAGTTTGTTTCCGATAATCGATAACGTATTCCGTTGCCAAGCATTCGATAAAAATCGATATCGATAACCTGTTTTTTGGACAATTTTTGGTAAATAATAAGAGCTAGAGTCCCCAAACTTGAAATATAGCTTCTAAAATAGAATATATATATGCATTTGATGTTGGAAGAAGACGGTTCAGGGTATCCCCTAGCGGGAGCTCCCGATTAGAACCTCTTACTTCTTTTTAATGAGCTAAGAGGCTGAAAGCTTAAGAGAGAAATCTTTATTTATATATTAATTACTGATAGTTGCTCATATTTAATAACCTGCTTTTTTTTGTAACGAATAATGAATCTAAACGGGCTTTATCAAATAAATGTTGCATATTTTCATCACATTGTATTACTTTATTCTAAATACCTTCTTGTTTTTGTTGCGAGCCACATAAAATGCTGTTTGTTTGTATAAGATCTTACTTTTGAACTTTTAAGTAAAATGTTAGCTAAGTTTAAGTCTTTAAGCGTACTTTGATGTCCAATCCGTGCAGCTTATGTAAATGGCATTTCATAGTTGGCGCACCTCTCTATCCATTAAGAGTGTATCATGATTGGCATCTCTCTGAGGGTTTATTGTTGCGGCACACACGGCGTATGAGTGACAGTTCATATCAAATTACCGTTATGGTTATGCGTCTATGGGGAACTAATGAGCAACGGCGCGGCCAGAGAGGTCTTTTACCAATATACACAGCAAAAACATAAGTGATTTGTTTTCTATTGCAGACACGGGCAAGGACGTGAGCAGCTCCAGAAGGTGAAATACAGAGCACGAGAGCGAGAGAGAGAGAGAGAGAGAGAGGGAGAGAAAGAGAGAGTGGAAAAGCGAAAGATATAGACGCGACTAGAACGCCGTTGGAGGCATCCAATTTTGCACGCCCAGGCCACGCAACGGTGATGTGGGACACATCCCGCAACGGGCAATGCAACAACCCCAACGTTATATACCGTCTGTATCTGATCTATATGGCACGGACGAGATAGAACTGCTGCTGGACGAGATACGTGAGCTGGAGCTGGAGCCGGTCTGCTGTCAGCTGGACGATGAGCAGGACTTTGAAATAGCTGGCAGCAGGGCCGGCGAGCTCTCGCTCTCACTCGAATCGCCATTGGGCACGTGCACCTCCTGGGACTCGCACGCCAACTACAAACAGCAACAACACACTCCGCTGCCATGGGGCGTCGCCCTACACTGTGATCCGCAACACTTGAAAACGCCTACAGGGATTGTGCGCATACTGCTGGTGGTAAGCTAGCCCATCCGCTTGAGTCAAAGCAATGTTAATGATGCGATTTTTTATTATGCCCGTAGTTATCCTCCGCCGTCTGTCTGGCCTGCGAATGCTCCGCGGGCACCGTACAGGTCGGCCTCTTTCTACTGCCACTCATCGGACGCCTGAGGCTGATGGTCTTCTGTGCGCTCTTCTCGCTACTCATCACATGCCTCATGCTCTTTCTCGATATATCGCATATAGCGCTCATGTTCCCATTCAATTGGACGAAAGTGGTACGTGGTAACTAAAATTCTTTAGACGATTTATATTTTTTATAAATTCATATTTTTTTTTTCCTGGAGAAATTAATGTTTTGTTTACCTTCCCCATTTTTTCTCTATAATATATTGAAATTTAATTTGCTATTATTAAAGTTAATATAAATATAAATTAAATATTTCCTTCAGAATACGTGGATGTACCTGAGTATTGGTTTAATATTTATTTTGAGCTCCACGCTGCTCGTCCACATGGTGCTGTATGCGACCGAGTATACATGGGTATCCAAGCACTCCAAGGACACATTACTAGCCACAGGCGTAAGCAGAGACAAGCCTGACATCCTGTTAAGCTATCTAACTAATTATTTACTTCTTTTGCTTAGCTAATTGGCTTTATTTGCGCCTTGGAGGCGCTGCTGCTGTCGGGCATTGCCTCCTGGCCCTGGTCTCAGTATCGCCAGGTGCCCGACGATGCCAGCGAGCTGTTCATTGAGGATCGCGAAATGACGCCCATGAGTCCCATAAATAGCACTGATCTACAGCTACAGCCAGACACTGGGCATGGCCTGGCGCCGTTTCAGCACAGCAGCCAAATCAATGGCAATGCAACGGCAGCCGATACATATAACCAACAACAACAATCGTCCTATAATCAAAAGCCTTATATACCTGGTAAGCTGTTTGCTAAATATTACAAATAAAAATAAAAAACTCTGCGAGGTCGAAGAACAGATAAGAGGCTCTAGCCGGGAGTTCCTGACCAGCGGATACCCTGAACCCTCTTCTACCAACACCAAAGGCAGCTTTAGCAGTAATAAAAATACATTTAAAAAAAATAGTTACGTCGATCGGACTCGACCGATTGAACAGACCGTGCCACTTGCCACCAGCTCTAGCCAAGAGACAAACCAAAAACTGATGACTACCGAAAAACAATTAAAACATCAGCACATACACTCAGCACAGGCAACAATCGCGATTGCAATGTTGTTGATAGAATATTCAATGCCGCTGACACGAGGCCAGCTACAAAACGTTTTTTTATTAGCTTTTGTGTTTCTAAGCCGATCTTGATTAAATTTTCAACAGTAGATTTGCTTATTGTCATTATTGAATTCTATCAACAGCATTTTTACTACTGCTAAAACGATCGTGCGCTGCAATTGGTGTTGGCAGAAGAGGGTTCAGGGGAACCTCCGAGTAGCGCCTCTACTTGTCTTTTGTTTATGTTTGTGTGGATATGGTATATTATTTTACTAACTTAACTGAATTACTAACAATTCACACGCCTCTCAACTCTTTTCTAGCCAAACGACCCAATGAGCTTAACCAGCGTCCCACATTGGGTCACACACAAACCGCACGCATTAAACCCAATCAGCGTTATCGCGAGGGCTATCACTACCAACCGGTTGCGTCAACGTCCCGCCAGAGTCCCACATTCGTCGTAGGCGATGATCTGGGTGCCGGTCCATCCACATCCCGTTCCAATGATAATTCTAGTGCGTGATAGTTTTTATTCCTCAACGACATGAAATTTATATGAACACAAAAAGTCAACTCAAACTTTGTCCACTACATATTTCAACTATAGAAAAAGTTGAGGTTGCATTTGGGTCAATGTAAAAGAAACAAATTGTTGATTAGTTTAAACAAAGAAGCAAAACTCGTCAAGAAGTTTAAAAAGAAAACGCAAGCAAACAATAATAAATTTAATATCTGTGTGTGTGTATAACAAGGTAAATTACGAGCAGAACTTTAAAGAATTTAAACCAAGATGAACAAATTGTACGACAACTAAAAAATATAACGTTAAATGGCATAAAGTATAATTGTCGCATAGGACCCGAAACTTGAACAACATTTGGTTAGTTGTACAAAATTTAATGTTAGTCAAAAAAGATTACTGAAAATAACCCTAATTTAAAGGTGAAGAAACACAAAAAAATTGGCAACGCTTTGGGCCAATTGCACAAATATATATATATATATATATACATATATGTATATATATAAAAGAATTCACAAAATTTTACGGCAAATTCGAATGCAGACAAGAAACAAATATATGAGATGCAAAATAAATTTAAAGAGTCGCCTACAATTGAGCATGGAAATGGAAATCAACTTGTTATAAACGTAGTTTTGCTTATTTTTTAATAAAAACAATAATTCATGAAAATCCACGAAAATATATACTGATGATTTTTTGTTTAATTTTTAGTCTTTTTTCCAAAACGACTTCAAGCCAAACTTCACAAAATGCAATCAAAATTCAATTTCAATGCTGTGCTCTACTTTAAACCCAAATCCTTTTCGATGGTGTGCGAGCACACGGCCATCATTTGATCCTTGATGTTCAGGAAATTCTTTACTGCCGCCGGTTTGGCCTCTGGCCATTCGCTCAAATCCCGATAGATTGGACGGCAGAATTTCATGCGGAAATTGGAGTTGGCAAACTCAATAATCTCATCCAGGCGTTTAATGAGGCGTGCACGTATGATTAAGCGATTGAGACGGAAGCGCACCTCGGCGTTCTTCGATTGCCCCAAATTGTAGGTGTTCTCCAGCAGTTCGATTTTGCGCTCATTAAGCTCAACAATGTCCTTGCTCTCAATCAGTTTGCCCAGGAATTCAATAAGTTGGTGTATAGAAATGGGCTGCTTAATGTTCGCATCGCTGGTCAACTCATCTACAGTCTTGGTGCTCCACTTGGTGGCCAGGTCCTTGGTGACATTAGAAAGGGATTCATCGAATCTTAAAATCAAATAAAATTAGTTTATTAATGTTCTCACTCAAAATATGCGCTACCTACTTGGGTATAATGGGCGGCATGCCCTCGCATTTCAGCCACAAATCCCAATCCACTAGGCCTAGTTTGTCTTTCTTGTCCGTATCCTTGAAATAATCGTACAAGGCTCCCTTAAAGTCATCCGTAACAATCGACTTGTATGCGAACTTCTTCAGGTAGTCACGCAGGAAAGGCTCGAAAACGCTTGGGCCACCAAGTAAATCCTCCAGATAGCGCAGGAATGTGGACCCCTTGATGTAGGGAACCGAAGAGAATGCATCATCAGGTCCACAGTTGCTTAAGTCGACAACCAGTCTGGTTAGCTCCGGCGTGTCAGAGAGTTGAGTGCGTAGCTGTAAGTGGATGTCGGAGATTAGATTGACTCATGCGTGTATATGGGGCACACGTTGCTTACACACTCCTGTAGCTCAGTCAGATTACTGAGCATTCTGAAGTCCAGCTCCTTGGCGCCCTGCATGCGACCCACAATTTTGGACTCGACGAACACAGTGAAGCCCTCATTCAGCCAGAAATGCTCAAAGTTCTTATTGGTCACCAGATTACCAGTCCAGCTGTGGGCGATTTCATGGGCCACCACGTTAGCTAAAGATTTGTCGCCAGCAAGCAGCGTCGGCGTAACAAAAGTCAGGCAAGGATTCTCCATGCCGCCAAATGGAAATGAGGGCGGCATGACCAGCAAATCGTACTGCTTCCACACATACGGGCCACACAAATCTGAAGCGGTTTTCAGCATGGTCGATGTTTCCGAAAATTCCTCAGCGCACGCATCAACAATGGCCTCCTCGGCCCACACATTTGAGTTGTCGCCCAAGCGACGGGACACGAGTTTACCAATGGCAATAGCCACCAGATATGCAGGTATGGGCACCTCCTGCTTGAAGTAGGTCTTGCCCGGCTCGTTCTTGTCAATCAAAGCACTCATCAGTGCCGTTAGCTCAGTGGGATGTTCCACAACGGCGTTATAAGTAAACTTTACAGCGGGCGTATCCTGACAGGGCAATACAGAACGTGCGTGTATAGCCTGGCATTGCGAGAACATATACGGATGCTTCTTGCCCAGCGTTTGGGCAGGATTCAACCATTGCAGACCACTTGCGTTGCTGGCCGTCTCGTAATCAATGCGTACGTTCAGGCTGCAATATAGATATGATTATAAGTGCCATTATTTACAAGTACTGTAAAAAGATTAGTTGGCAGCTTATCAGAACGCCCGCTCACCTGCCCTTCGCAGTGCCGGTTGGCAGCTCCAGCGTCAGCTTCTGGCCCATATCGGGCACGGGATCGCTGATGAAGTAATTAATGGGCAGCTCAGTGCCGCCGGCCAGTAACGTGGCATTCTTCACGTCTATATCACGAACATCCAGCAGCTGGCAAAATAAAAACCTATTAATTATACGAAAGAGTGTAATTACTTAATATACTCACAATTTTCTCTAGGTTGCTGGACAGCACATTGAATTTGTGCAGGACACTGCCGCGCAGCTTGGTGGATTCAAAGTCAACTTTCCAATTAATAGAACTGTGCTCGGTGGTTATCAGCTCCGGCTCTGAGTAGGAGCTGGGATCAACGTTGCTCAAACGACCCATATTACGTTTTTGTAACTTATATATTGGCAACAGTTGCGATTGATGGAGCTCTGGCTGCAGTTGTGTCGTGCACAAGGTTCGTCTGGAGACTGCAAACAAATGAAAACAGTGAGTAATTATCTTTCTTCGAGTGCCCAATAAGTGCGATAAGACAAAATATGCCAACGACTGTTAGGCGAATACCCTGTTTAAATTGAGTCTCACCAACTGCCGGGCTTGCAGAACACTTAAGACGCAATAGATGATCACAGACCACAAAAATGCGAGGGCGTTTCTTAAAAAATGGCGAAAAAGCACAACTCACTGTTGATGCCGGCAGCAGAAAACAAAGTGTTGACCAGGGTTGCGGCTATTCTATCGATACAAATATATCGATATGTACATAAAAAAATTATCGGCACGATTACTTTGCCTCTCAAAATATTGTATAAAACCAAGTTGCTTCGATTTGCCGAAGATTATATGCCTTGGCGTTATGATATGACTCTAGTATAAAGCCGGGCGTTTTGCAAATAGCCTCCGTCTGTGCGTTATACTGTCTGATACATGTTGGAGATACCCTTTGCAAGAGTATTAAGACGCAACGAACACATTTGTAAATAACAATATTATATTTTGCTTAACAGTAAGTCTGCGGCCTGCCCTAGCGCAAGACATAATCCTTGGGATAATCCATTATGGCGGGGAAGTTCTCCAGCGTTTCCTTGTCAATGTGATCCAATCGCTGGGGAACTGTGCGTGGCGTGCGTATCTGATTCGTAACATTCGCCAAAAGGTCCTCAGGCACTTTGTCGTCGGCAAAGAGATGCAGCCGCTGCATCGTATGCCTGCGCTGTAGATTACCCGTCATTGAGTTGTACACAGCCTTTTTCATAACCATGGTGGGATCCTTCTCGTGCAGCTGCCAGGCCAGCGTCCAGGATGCGCCGCCCGGATATCCAGTGTGATGGAAATAAACGCGCTTAACCCATTCATCGCCAGGCAACGCTATCTCTTTGGTGTTGATCAGCACCACATGGTCGCCGCAGTCATCTGCAAATATAGCTCAGATTTAGTCTTGATTGGAGCATAATATGTTAAGCTAACCTAGAACTGGCCCCGGCTTGAGAATTCTTCATTCACTGCGAGCACATCTCACGACCGGCAAATGCCGCACAACATAAACTGACACTCGCGCCGCTTGTGACGTAACAAGCGCATAGAATTTCGCGTATTTCCATAGTTGTTCACTTAAAACTATTAGAAATCAACTTAATTCTGGCTTCTACTTACTCATAGGATGATATATTGGCTTATGCAGGCCCATAAGATGTGTTTTGATCAGTTGAGCAGACTCAAAAGGATTTTGCCAGGTGCAGTCATATATATGCCATGTACGCGCAAAAGTTGCCCATTGCTGCAAGCAATGTTCTTGTTTAACTTATTGAGGATATAAGTTCCATCAATACAAACCTGTACGCGCTTAGCTATCGACATTGTTGTTAATATTTTATGTAAGAATTTAAAACAGGCATAAAAACAACTTCAAAACTTATTTACGTGCCTGTCACGTGAAGTTGGCTGTGCGCAATTTTTAACTCGCGTGCTGCTGACAGCGCTCATTTTGCGCACTCACTTGAGGTCGGCTGTGCAGCGTTTTTGACTCAAAGCGAAGTTGGTTGCGCTGTAGCAGTGCTGCCAACCCCTTCAAACTGTTATATTTATGTAGAGTGGCAGCACTAGCTTAATTGCGCGCACACTTTTTATACCCTAAACCCATTAAAAATGGTTATAAGGGTATATTGTATTTGTCCAAAATTCAAATGTATGTAACAGGCCGAAGGAAGCATCTCCGACTCCATAAAGTATAGCCGAGTCGATCTAGCCATGTCCGTCTGTCTGTCCGTCTGTCCGTCTGATCTCGGAACATATATAACATATGACATATACATAGCTGCTAAAATAGAATATATATATGTTGGAAGAAGAGGGTTCAGGGTATCCCTTAGTCGGGAGCTCCCGACTAGAACTAAAATTTAATTTAATTTAAATTTATTTTTATACATAGCTGCTAAAATAGAATATATATATGCATTTGTTGTTGGAAGAAGAGGGTTCAGGGTATCCCTTAGTCGGGAGCTCCCGACTAGAACTAAAATTTCGATTTTTGTTATTTATTTTCGTTTGTAATTTCATTTAAACATTTTCTATAGTTACTAAAATTACTTATGCACTGTTTATAATTAATATTATTTAAATATTATTGAAAATACATTAGTTGTTTCACGAAACAATTTATTAAACATCCTTGGTACGTTCGCTGCCTTACAGTTTGCTTTCGTTTTATTCTATTTACTCTTTGTGTTAATGGAAATATATTTAAAAAACTAACAAATAAGTCTAGATTTAGTTACAGTTTTCTCACTTACATACGTTTCCATTTTTTCTTCTTTCAATACAATTTAATGAACTTAACGTAGCTGATTTTTGTTAATTCGATTTACAACTGGCCAAGTGCGATTTTATTTATAGTTTAGTTTACTTTGCAGTTTATATATACCCATATAATACACACGAGGTTCTCTTTTTATAGTCAATTTCTCGTTTTCCTTTCCATTTGGTTTTTTATGTACGCATATGATTTTTGTGATTCAATTTTTCTCCCTTTTGTTTTGTTTCTTGCATTTTGAATGAAAATATATATGTATGTATATATATAAAAATTATGTACAATTTCTGTGTTTAATGAAATTCCCTACTTGACGAGCTTGATTTTAATGCGAAATTATTGTTAAAACTTTTCAAGTGTGTGAGCA